TGTCATATAAAAAATAATAATACTTGTACAAATTTTTATAATTGTAAAACACAGGTGTCATTTATTATTATTATTTATATTATTATTATTATTAGACACCTGTGTTTTACAAATACACAAATTTGTACAAAAATAAATTGTGTACAAGCATTATTATAATTTTTTTTATATTATTATTCTGTTACGCAGTTTATTTTTGGACAGGTTTTTATTTTTATAATGGTTTATAAAGCACAAGTGTGCAATATTACCGTTTATACATTTGAATTTTTGTATAACTTTTCATTATTGTAATTGTAAGACACCAGTAATGTGAAAACACAAATGTTATACATTTTCTTTTTATACTCATGCATGGTCATGCCTTCTCTATATAAGCTTGGAGAGGGAGTAATATGGTACCCCCATAATTTGGGCCCAGCCATCATGCCCAAAAATGTGTTCAATGTTGTCATTCTGTCACCTTTTTTGTTTTCTTTGATCATGAAACACTTATTTTAATTCATTAACTGTTGCAAAAAACTAAAAAAGGTTTCTCCGAGGTGATCCTGCTGAGGCCTAAACCGGGGATTCAGTTAGATCATATTAAACACAAAATTAAATCATTTTTATTTTGTTTTTACAAGTTTTAATTTTTATGCTTGGAAAAGGCAAGTTTGTATTACTTTTCATAAGTTTGGAGAAGGCGCAGTTCTGTGGCCTCTTTTTTTGTTTGTTTGTTTGTTTTTTTTAGGCCCAGGTACAGCGAATGTGCGCAAAACCATTTAAAAATGTTTTCTTTTCTAATTTAACCTTTTACTTTGCTTATGAAACGCTTCTTATTACACCAGAAACCGTCGCAATGCTTTGACCGCGGTGTGGCTGAGTCTGGGTGGTTAAGTTAGAAGATATCAAACCCAAAATGTGTCCCATAAATATTCTAATATACGTTTTTCTTATTTACAATCACTTCTGCAGAAGCGGGAATTTTTTCACCTTTTTAAAGTTCAATCTCTGATATTATGTTCTGCCTGGACAGGTTGGGTGATTTTTTTTTTTTTTTTAAATTCAGTCTTTCGACCGGTTTTACAACATTGAAGACCTGATTGTAAGCGTTGTTTTTCAGGACTTTTAATGTCGATGTATCTGTGAAATTTTAGGTTAACCAGTTTGACGAATGTGCGCAGATTTGGTCACAATCGGTGAATATTTAGGTGGAAGTTTTAGGGGGAAGATATCTTCTTGTGCACAGAGAACTTCCTGTCAGTTATCCCACACTGAACGCAGCCTCTCCTCAGCCTGCGATGGCTGTACACGGGGGAGGGGAGATTATTTTTGACTATTATCTGCACACATTTTCAAATTGTTTCAGTCCATAAACGCTATTTATAGGTGTTTTACCCAGTCATCTTCCAGGACAGCCATCGAGATATAGGCTCCGCCTGCCTGCAACAGGAAACACATCAACCACATTAAATAAATAGACTCCTCCTTCCATCCCAAGTCAGTTTTTTTGTGTTTCCGTCGGCTACACAGGGACATCGTAATGTTTGTTATTTTAAGGGCTCATGTTTGTTTGCCTTAGGGCTGAGCCTTACCCTACTATGCATTTGGACCTACTCCAGGGTTACCTGCTGCAGTGCATATAGGGATTCCCTATCGGACCCCCACCCGATTCTTGGCCAAGGTTCCCTTCCGTCACTCAGGGAAGGCAACCATCCTCCTGCACGTGAGTAGGCGCCAGATGGTGGCCCCCCCGGGTGTACAGCAGTGGCAAGGTGTGATGACCTGGAGTGTGCGGTGCCCCTGTGGTGGACAGCAGTCTGGTAACAACAGGGGCAGCATGGAGGTACGGGGAGGCTGAGGAGCCCAGGGTCCCAAATGCCTAGGAGCATATCGGGCACTTACCGGTCGGTAGGGGGAGCGGTGACAGTCGGCGGCAGTATGGGGGTGTTGGTCCTCGCGCGGAGCGCTGCACCGTTTCTTGGGCTCATACTGGCTTCCCTATTTGGGGAATGAAGGCCGTGGATGCGGCGGGTGACGTCACTGAGGTGCGCCGGCGCCACGCGGCGTGCGCACCGCGTCATAGGTGACGCGCTTCCGGTGCGCCACTTCCGGTTTTTCGTCCTCAGCCTCGAGCCGGAGACATAAGGAGCTGAGAGCTCCCAGATGGCAGCAGACGCCACGTCTGTGAGACGTAGTGAGGCTTCCTAGCTGAAACAAGGGTAAAGCTGGCCATGCACTGCTCAAATCTGGTCCTTCCCCAAAATTAGAGGTGTGTGCCA